TTATGAATAGTGCTCCCGTTCATGCCGGTTGGAGGCCAGATGGACCGGATGTCCACGTGGGAGTAGGATCACAACAAATAAAATAAGAAAACGATAATTTTATATGTTTGTATATGTCCACCGCAGAAAGACGTGCCTATCAAAAATTAATAATTTGGGAAGAATAAAAATGGGGTGCAGTACTGCGTAAAGCAAGACTATTGCACTCCCCGGACAACGTTTTTATTATAGTTTTTACTATAATAAATAAAAAGAGCACTGGTAATAATAACGCCATGTGGAAGCTGAGACCAAAATTAAGTAGTAGAAGAAGAATAAGACCACCCACATAGTTAACCCTCCAAACTGAGCAAGTACGTTTTCAAATAATATCGCGAAGCTAAAATTCAAGTTTCAGGCACTGAAGAAACAATCAAAACTAGAAATTTAATGGGCTCGTGGCGGTGAACTTTACTCATATAAAGGTTTGAACAAAGTACCTTAGAATGAACGAGCTTGTAACCACACTGCTAGCTGAGCTATGTTGATGTAGCGTTTGTCATATGGAGGCATGATCAAGCACAACTAAACGTATTCAAAAATGGAACGTGAAACCCGAAGATCAATCTTCTTCTTGGATGCACTTATGAACAGTCGTGGATATAGGAAATTAAAGCACAGAGTATACAGGAAACGAGGAAACCAACACATACAGATAGATATCTCAGCAAAATCTCCAAACACTATCGACGACAAAAGGGAAAAGTAATCAAAATGTCAATTTAGGGGGTCCGCCGCATCTGTGAACCTGAAAGTCGCCTCAAGGAACTTCGCATTTGAAGAACGGCTTCAAAGACAATGGCTAAAACGAAATTAATTCAGTCGGAAAAGTAACGCCAAGGTTACGCAGACAAGCCCGTGAATGGAAAAGCTTTTCTGTCCCATGTTAAATGGATTGATAGTAAAAAATCATTCTTAAGTATCAGCTCTACAGAGAGGAAAATAAACTTTAAATTAAATTACACGTTATAGCGAGATTTACCTATTTTTTCTATATAGGTGAATCTCGTGACAATATATATTTTGTAATGTAAAAAAGTTATGGGTATGATATTTCCTTCATTTCATAGCTGGTAATCAAGAATTTGTTTTTTACAATTAATTTATTTTTTAGTGATCGTCTAACGGTTCCTTAGCCAGTTTCAGGTGTATCATGGTTAGTGACACTGATATTTGACATATATATTATTAAGAAGAAGACATGTAATTACTGTAATTAGGTATCTTATTTTGATTGTGACTGAAAAACTTTGAATTTTACCGTGTTCAATACAATGATTTATTATTTTTTTATAGCACAAAAATCTAATTCATCCTATGATAATATAAATATCTGAAATGTGAATCAACAATTCTTTATGGTGTTTCTACAATGCGATTCACAACTAAGCCCACTATCAATGCGTTTGTTTTTTGAACAATAATTCAACTTCACGTACACTAGCTACAGAT